GCGGCCGCACCGTCTAGGGGAAGGGCTGTTAAAAACACAAGTATTCTTGTGAAATACTTCGATCTGAGCATTAAGGCAGGTCTGCAGGAGATCCGTCCTGGGGACTCGGACAGCAACGCTACCGGCTCCGAGAGGACGGCGAACGTCGCCTCCCGGCAGAGGGCGGAGAGATCAGAGGAGAGTTGTTCCTGAGTTAAAACCTGCTACGACAGCAAACTCCAGTACGCTCAAGTTGAATGGTTTCCCACTGCAATGTCTTACGCATCACCAAAAAATAACTTGTAAAACTCAAGCTTACCAAAAGAGAAAGTGTTGATCTTTGCTTGTGCCTGCATGAGTGAGTAATCTGCTAAGTTGAGGAAGCTGGCAATTCTAGTGAGAAGTCCAGGTGAGGCCAGGTTCTGCGAGCATGGGTCAGGTCCATGCTGAGCCCAGGCAGACCCCGTGACCGGAGTCAGGGAAGGAAGCAGGAAGGGGCCTTGCTGGGCACCAGAGACTGTAATTAGCAAGGGCAAGGAAGAACCGTAAACAGTGACAGAACACTCTCCCAGGGTGCCCAGCTCAAAGGCATCAGTATACAAAGGATTCAGGTGCAGTTAAAGGGCAATTTGGCCAATAGACGGAAAAGCAGAAAGTCAAATCTGATGCAAAATGAGCTGTTCTGAGACCAGTGATCCATGGCGTTGCAATTTTGGTGTTTAAAGATAGAACACTTGGTTCTACGGAAAAGTGTATCTCACTTTAAAACCAACCTCTTCACGGGAAGGGAAACCAGAAGCAAAGTCCCTGCGGTCACCCTTATTTATTGCTGAAGCAGAACGAAAACCTGCCCCACGGGCTGGGCTTCCCGCCCAGGACTGCACAGGCTTTCCAGAGCCAGCCTGGGCCCAGCAAGCCGCGGCGAGCACAGGCTTCGTCCGTCTCCTCTGCACTGGAACACAGTGGGGGAAACGCTCCCTGCTTACGCCTGCGTTGCTTAGTGGAACCTAGGGTGTATATTGCTTTATGCTTGCTGAAGGAGGGGATTTCACTTTCGGTGAGCACTGAAGCCTGCTGGCTGCAGCCAGTGGTGAAGCAGACCTCAGGATGAGGCTGGCCTGACGGCAAAGCTCCACCCATCAGTATCAGTCTGGAGCATGGCCTCCATCTGTTCTCGTCAGCTGCAGTGACCTACAATAAATAATACATTCTATTTACAGGTTCTAGTAAGAGCTCTCTTCAAGGGAAGACAAAACAGTGTATTTTGTTGTTACTGAACTAGTCTGCACAGAAACGTCTGTGTCATCTCCCAAAACACAGCAAATCCATCTGAGAATCACAGTACTCAGACAGCGGACAAGAGCAAACACCTCCAGGTGGATGCAGCGGTGCCGGATGGGCCTTCCTTGAGGTCGAGACTGAATCTGTCAACCAGCAAGCTGCCCTCGGAACCCCGCAGGTCTGGGATTGGAACGCTGCTTTCAGAGAAGACTTCCGAATGGGACTGACGTGTATCTCTGCAGGTATAAATAAGGTTATTCAGAAACACCGACATGGGGGGTGCTGTCACAGCACGGTGGAGGCCCTGGTGCTGGGGAACGAACCAGGCATCCACCGGGCTTCTGCTTCCGGTGGGTGCGGGCATGGGGCTTCTTACTCACGTAGCTGGAAAGGACATTCTAGCATGGGGATTAGCCCGGACAGAACCACCACGGGTATGCATTCAAAATGGGATATTTACAAGAAACATGTATATATAATATTTATATATTCAATTCAAAGTCTGGAAAAACAAGACTTTTAGTCAGTCACTGAACTTATTGCAGAATGAGGTAACTGAGATGGTCACAGAGTGGGACTGATGCAGCTCAGGTCCTCAGAGTCAATCCCTCCTGTCTGGATTCATCAGTCACGGTTTGATCGTCTCCATTCGCAGAATAAGCTCCAGCTTTTCTATGTACAGAGAGCGAGGTGGTGCCCCACCCAGCCCTGCCCTGTGGTCCTGAGTGCACCCCGACGTGGGTCAGGGGTGCCCAGCTTCACCTCAGAACTGGTCATCGACAGAAAGAACTAAGGACGTCCCTTATAGATTGGTCTCGTCCCAGGCAGGATCGTTCATGTTCTTCAGGACTTTCCTCACCAGCTTCTCTAGGTCTTTGCGGGCTCTCTGTTCTTCCTCTAGAGATTTCTTCATCTTTTTGTTATCCTGTAAATTAAGCAGACCACAGTACGTTCACTATCTTTGGCATTGCGTAGGGCTTCCTTTCCCCATATGGGTATCCTTGAGGAGCTAAGGCCTCGACTCGTGAAATCCCACGTGAGCTGCCTATGGGCTGTGAGGTCATGGGGGTCCGCAAAGTTCAACCACCTGGACAGGGTGGCAGCAGCGCTCCTGACTATGCTGCCGCTCCCGGGATGGAAACGGTCCTAATGGCTCTTATTAAGGCCATGAATGAATCTCTATAGAACATACCGTAAGAAAATGGCTGGAAACTGCAGACGGGACAGCTCCTCTCCAGCCTTTTCGTCCATTCATAACCGCCTTCCAGAGTTACAGAAAGGACTGGAAGTAACAGCCACTGACGGATGCGGGAGCAAGTGGGTGAGCACCTGCTCTGTGCAACTGAACCCAGGCATGTCTCAGACGTAGGAGGCAGGCACAAACGGACGCCTGCTGCCACTTGGGGCAAAGTGTGAACACGGAAGCCCGCCAGCCAAGCAAAGCAGTACCTGGAAGCCCTGCGGACACTGCTTAGAATGCAGAGCACGCGTCCAGTTCCACACGGCAACCTGCTCTCGGCTCTCTATCCCAGACCACAACTCTTCTCAGGCCGCTCCTCGGCCAAAAGAGCACCCCAACCTTCCCTTGCCTAGCTAGGCAGGGCATCAAAGCCACTCCTACTCACATTCCGTGCAACGGACACCCCAGCTTTCCCTCACCTAGCTGGGCAGGGGACCAAAGCCACTCATACTCACATTCTATGCAACAGACACCCCAGCCTTCCCTCACCTAGCTGGGCAGGGCACCAAAGCCACTCATACTCACATTC